GAAAAAACGAACTACAAACATATTAACGCCAAACATTCGGTAGAATTTATAGAATATTGTAAAAATATATATATATATATATATATAATAAAATAATTATGAATATATATATACAGTTATATACATAAACGGTTTATAATAATAATAAAATAATTATGAATATGGCATATTAATAATTATATTAATAATAATGAAAACACACATTAGTCTCTGTGTACATTTATATGTAAGGCACAATAGAGTCTTGTCGATTGAATGCGTAAAAAATGACTCGCTTGATAAAAATAATTGTAATAAAATGACAACAACAACAACAATAATAACAACAACAACAACAATAATAACAACAACAGCAACAACAACAATAATAATATTAGCGATAATATTAAATGATGAAAACTTACAACAATGACCATTTTGCTAATGATGATGATGGTGACTGGATGAGTATATGATTAATGTGTTTGTTTGTTTGTATGTACCTATGTATGTATATATGTGTGTATGTATGTATGTATGTATGTATGCATATTACACACATATATATGTAATACATATAAATATTATTTATAATTAACTATTGTTTATTCTTAAAATACTGTGGTTAATAGATTAGAATTAAAAACAACAACAACGGCAACAACATTAACGAGAAAAGTGATAATGACATTAACAGACAGAAATAATTACCCAACTTTTTCATCATCATCGTCGTAGTCATCATCATCATCAGCTATCATCATCATCATCAGCTACTATCATCATCATCATCGCCGTATTCATCACCATCATCATACTTTCCAAGAAATCCATACTCTCATGTCTTCCCGATATGATTAAAAATAAGATCAAACTGGTTGGCTGTTATAAATCTGGTGATGGAATAACCAACTGCTACAGGTGCACCGAATTATGTGTTTGGCCAAATGCCAAATAGTTGATCCACAATTTGGCTAAAGTCGAACCCCCAAAAAAAACACAATTTAAAAAAAAAATTTAGATTGAAAAACAAGATATTAAGAAAGAACAACTTAAATCCATCTCTAACTTATCCGTCAGTTCTTTATCGAGATAACATTCAATCTATATTTCAAATCCAGAAGTTTTAACAGGTCAAAATACATTTTTTAAATATTGATAATCAACAATTATTGCTCTGGAGTCCCGAAGATGGCGATGCTTTACGCGAAAACTGCACTTTCGGCCTTTGAAAATGACCAAGCAGCCGAATGCGTCTCCAACACACATACACACGCCATACACACATACATATACATCATATACACGTACATACATTCTCAGATACACGTACACACGCACGCACACACACACACACATGCGTGAATTCTTTCTCTGTTATAGATTAGTCTATGCAAACATAATTCTACTAAATAAAACTTTTCCTACATCTATATAGTTTAAATTTTTATTTGTAATGTACTCTCTCTCTTTCTCTCTCTCTCTCTCTCTCTCTCTCTCTCTCTCTCTCTCTCTCTCTCTCTCTCTCTTACAGGAAATTAACATAAATGTTTAATAACAATGATATTTTCCTTATAATATTAAACAACAACAATAAAAAAACATATCATAAAAAGGAACACCAAAGATATTTAATTGCAATTTGAGATAGTAAAAACTTAGTCCACATTTTTTTTTCTTTATCACCATCAACATCATTATCATCATCACATCATCAACCTGATTATTAATGCAGTCTTTACCAGATAGTCTGCAGGGTGATATATATATATACACACACACACACACACATACATACATGCATATATTCATATAAATATACAAACATATATATACAATATCTATACATACATTCATACATATATACTTTATAATAATAATATATATAATTAAAAATTGATTTTTAATGATAAGAGTCAACAATGATATAGATGGATAGTTAGTATGTAAGAACTTTTGCTTCGCTGTGCGTGCAAGTCTGTATATTTGTTAAGTTGTGTGTATTAATTTGCGTGTAGTAATTTTTGCGTATGTGCGTGCGTGCGTGCGTCTGTGAATCCGTGAGTCAGTTGTTGTATTTGTTAAGGTAAGTTAGGATTGAAAAACTTAACTCGAATGTCTCTACGTTTTACTGTGTTAGGAGGTCAGAGGCCCATATGTTTATTCGTTGTTTGAAATGAAGGTTCATTTTTGAGGAAAGTTTCGTTGTTCTTGTTGTATGTGTTTGTACTGCTATTGTTGGTGCTTGCTAGCTACAGTAGGATTGTTTCAGTTGTCAGGTACAAATTGGTGTATTTAAAAATTGTTAATGTAATTTATGCTGTCTTTGTTGCTTGTAATGTTGTTGATGTTTGTTTATGCTGTTTCTCTATGCAGCTGATAATGATGCTACGTGTCTATAATGCTGTCGTTTATGTTGCAGTTGTTGATGTTGTTGACTGTTTAATGTGATGTTGTTGTTGTTGTATTTGATTTGAAGACTGTTGATGTAGTGAAATATATAACTGTTGTTGTTGTTGTTGCTGCTGCTGTTGTTGTTGTTGTTGCTGTGATGAAGACCATTGAAGTTTTTGTTGTTGATGGTCTGTTGAGCTCTTTTGTTGTTGTGCGTGGTGATGTTTTTGTTGCTGTCGTTGCTGCAATTGCGGTTGCTGCAACAAAACAGAACTTTTAATGCCTGGTATGTGGTTGTTTGGTAACTGAGAATGTCTAGCTGTGTTGTTGCTGCAACTGTTGCTACTGCTGCAGCTGCTCTTTGAACTAATAGAGTTGTAACTTTTATTATTGCTGTCGTTTTTCAAAACATTATTACTACTACTACAACTACTACTACTAATATTATTCTTATTGTTGATGTTGTTGTTTAAGTGTTGCCTGTTAAGAGAGCTTGAACGCTTTTGTTGAACGTTGTCATCAAATGTTGTTGCCAAAGGATGTTGCAGTGATGATCTTTGTTGCTGTTGTTGTTGTTGTTGCTTAGTCACACGAACTGGTTGTGGTAGACTGTGTTGTTGTTGTTGGAGGTGGTTCTGTCTGAGTATTGCTTTGTTTTGTTGTCGTTCTTGGTGATGCTGCTGTTGTTGTTTCAACTGTTCTGCTGACTGCACTTTGATTTGTGGTTGTTGTAATTTCATTTGTTGCTGTTGTTGTGGTGGTGGTTGCTGTTGTTGTTGGTCGCCATCACCTTTATGCAGTGGATGTGATCTGACACCATCAATTACATCATTGCATTCCTTGCTACCAGCATCTCCATTACAAACAACAGCAACTTTTTCAGCACTATCGGCAACATTGAAACCAGCTGCAGCAGCAACTGCATCTACATCATCAATGACAACAACGACAGGGGCCGGCGAAAATGTGTCATTCAAAGGCGCTATTTCCTCATTGGACGTCGGATGAAACGTAGCTTGCTGATTGGTCAGTGTAGCTTGCTGAGTGACCAATGAAACAGCTTCAATTGTTCTTAAGGAGGCGGAGTTAAATGCAGCGGACTGTCGTGATTGGTTGAGAAACATGTAGACACTGTCTCTTGTTGTTGCTAGATTTTCAAAAAAGGGTATCAAATTAAGGAGTTCTCTATCGGAGGGGTCGTCGAACCACGACATCACTGGAACCTGAAAAAACACAAAAATAAATTTTCACTACGATTTAATTTATATAGCGCTATATTCCAAGCTTTGAAAAAATTTGACATTTAACTTTTGACAAACAGCATATGCTTAAAAAACACGCATACCATAAACAAGAATATCGATGTATCCTCAACAAAAACGCTTATTTATTCATTCGTTCATTTCTTCATTCATTTACCCATTCATTCATTTATTCATTCACTCACAGCATTCTTAGGATGAAATAGGTAGGACATAGGAGAGTTATCAATGATGACCACTCTGTTTAGATCTCTACCCAGCCTACTCAAGTCCTGAAATTGTTGTTTGAATATGCATTTAATATGCAATTAAACCAACCAATCAAACAACGGTTAAACAAAGAGTGATTCAATAACTAACCAATAATGAAAAAAGTTAATGAAAATCTACTTAAAAACAGATCAATCAAGTTAAGTGACTCAATAACCAGCCAATCACAATAAATGATTCAATTTTATTAGCCAGCCAATCAAAAACTAGGTAGCCAAATATTGACCTTGACATAATTGCCTCGATGGAAGACACAGGATTCTCTGAAGAGACGGGCCTGGAAAACATTCCACTTGTCTAGGAGGTCAGTTACTGGATCTGCATACTGATGATGATGATGAAGATGATGATGAAGATGATGATGAAGATGATGAAGAAGAAGATGATGATGTTGATGATGATGGAGAAGAAGATGATGATGATTTATTTATACATTAAGACAAATATAAACAGATCTAAATATAGACTTGCACATGCAGCAATGTACAAATAAAAACATACACAAGCAAAAACTTACAAATACAATCAAAATTATACAAACACAAGCCCAGATACCAAACTAAACAAATACAAAACATAAATACAAATATATACAAAACATACAAACGTAGAAACAACCTTCCCAAGACTAGCAGTGAAGAGAATGCACTCGAATAATTCACCCATTTTTTTCAAAAATTCATCAACATACGGGCCTTTTCAATATGTAAACCTTTGTATTGATGCCAGTGATGTTGTTGTGTGATGTTGTTGTGTGATTCCGTTGCTGATGTTTTTACATAAAACAATACAATATTAGTGACAATGACAACAAAAATGCGTGTAGCAAAAATATAAATCTACCTGATGAATAGTGCCATCAATTTCAACTGGGATTATGAAATCTGCATTCTTAACAGGCTTGAAAAAATTAAAAATAGTAATAATGATATAAATAAATAATAATAATAATAAATAATAATAATAGAAACCAAAATTAATAAATAATAATGATAATCGATTACTTGAAATGAGCTATGAACTAAAGTCTCATCCAAGTCTATGACTACACATTTTTTGTCTTTATATAAATCTGTCACAGGTGCCAATAAAAAATTCTGATGGAAAAAAAATTATTTTAATTATTTTTTTAAATAATTATTAATCAAAATTGATACAATTTACTAATATTTTTTATTTTTTAAATATATAAATGTTTTGTATTATAATTTTTTTATAAATAGATAATTTTAGCTAGAGATAAATAAAAAACAAATAAAAATAATTTAAATTAGAGTTAAGGCATTGTATAGTAGCTAACAATATCTACTTAGATTTTATTGGATATTGAAACTAAAGTATAACAAATTTTAACTTAAATATACTTTTAAACACTGTCCATTGAAACTTATTTTTATAATCCTATCATTCTTAGATAATAAATTTAGAAATCAATTTAAAATATTCTTACTACATTGTTATTATCAGATTTCTTAAATGAGATTGACAAATTAGCAACAGCTGATGAAGATGAAGTGTTGGTTGATTGTGTTATGGCTGGTCGACTGAAACAACAGAACAGACGACTGAATACCCCACCGTGTGATGATGAGGATTTACCTGGGGCCATTTTGGTTTCAGGTGCTGCTTGAAGATTAAATATTTTTACAATTAAAATGCTACCTTGAATTAAAAATAAACTGATAATTCTAAAATAAACTTATAAATAATGAATCATAAACTTGTGAAATTTTTTTAGTTCTTTTTTAGTTTAGTTTAATACTTTTAGTAGTCATTTGGATCGAAATCAGTGAAAGTAGAGATCAGAGAACACCTATTAATTAGTTATTAATAGTAGCTAAAAAATCAAATATGTGCACTTTTTAAAATTTAAACTAGATAAATAAAATAATTTAATTTTTCTCTTAGATTTACTTTTAATTTTCTCAAGTTTTAGTTTTACAACAAAACTAACTTTTATGATCATGTTGTGAATTAGTGTTGGCATTTCCATCATCCCGATTGACCTGTGTAATGACGGACTGCGCGTCCATCAAATTAAGACATAAACTTTTATTTTTAACAAATAAATTTAAGAAATATTTCTAATAAAACCGCGATAAACCCAGTTAAATCAATTAATAAGAGACGTAAATTTTCATGAATAAACACTGCAAAGGCGAAACACTGATGCACCGATATTCATGAAAATGCAAAAGAACCCAAACTAATGACAGCCGAAAGGGTTTTTTTTTAAAAAATGAGAATTTTTTAAATATGTTAGTAAAAAACTTATAAAACAAGCGTTTTTTATATAAATTATAGTTAAATTACATTGTTTTTATGTTATAAGACAAAAAAATTATAAAAAAAATGTTGTGCAAAAAGTGTACAGAATGCAGCATGGAATGCAGTATAATATTCCATATATATATTTATAAGTTTAATTTAACAAAAATACATAATTTCATTTATTGACCATGATTTTAGGTACATATTATTCTATATATATATGTGTAAAACTAAAAAATTGTCAAATACATCTTTGATAATTTCAAACAAACTTTAAGTTAACTTTTAAAACAAAAAAGTCATCCTTTTTTTCTGTACAAAGACCAGCTGATTAATGATGATTAATTTATTTATCACATGACGGCTCGCATACAGTAAATTTGAGTACGTACATTTGTGTGGTTAGATTAATTATATATAAATAATTATTATATATAATATTTATATATTGCTTTTGTTATTATATATATATTATAAAAGTAAACAAATTTTGTACTATTACTAATATATAAAAATTAAAAACAAAAACAAAGTTTGTTGTTCACTCTGTTGTGGGTTGATCACTGCTTAATAATTTAATCGTGTGTTGTTATGTTATTGTTATGATATCCAATTATTGGTTATTCATAGTAAGTAAAGTAAAGTGTACAGTGTACATATTTTTTATAATATAAAAAATATGATGTACAACCTTTTCAAATATTTCCTAGATTTTTATGGTTGGTTGTGTTCGAATTGTTCTTTTTGTTAATCTTTGTCTTTCTCTAGTTTATATATTTAATATTATATATATAATAATATTACATATATAATATATATATTATCTATATTATATATATACATATATAAATTTTAACACTAAATTGATGAATAGTTCTTTTTTTAATTTTAATTTTAGATAAAAATATGAGATTTTTGTCTCATAAACTGTTCTTATCTTGTTTGATCATTTCATTTGACTAACTACTATTCTAATAATACAATTTTCATTCATGTTTGCTAGTTTTATTTATAGAATAGATGTTAGTTGGATGTTATTCTATTTATTTATATTTTTATATATAAACACTAAACAGCATTGTTCAAATTGAAAAGTTTGAATTATATTAGTCATGAATTGCGCTATTATAAAATTTTAATAAAAATTTATTAATATAATTTTTTATTTTATATTATATAATAAATATCTAAATTAATTATTCCAATATTATTTTCACACAAATAGCTTTCGATAGGCCTGCTTATATTACATTGTAGAATGAAAAGAAAATAAAGAAAGTTAATAAAGCAATTCTTCTCATCTACTGGATAGCAATTAACTGATCAAAGAACTGTCTTAAATTAGCCACAAATATTTTTGTACACTACATAATAACAGTTCACAACAATATAATAGTTGTTAAACATTTGAAAACAGAATTATAATACAATTAGACTCTAATTATTAGAGATATCTGCACATATCCTATTTAACGCTAGCATCATCTTATGTCCATAAGTATCTAGTATCTATATTGATACTCTACATATGATTATAATAGTTTTTACTATCTATGTTGGATTAGTTTGAATTTGAACTAAAAGAAAGTTTATTTGAACTCAACAAAGAAATAAATCATTGAAATTAAAAATGAATGTTGATCAAAACAAATGTTTCCTCAAACTAAAGATCGTGTATTCAGTTTTGGGGATTCTAACTGGAATAAGTGTTGCAGTTGTGTTTGGGGTACAATATGCAAATTACCATGTCAGTGCCTGGGGTCTAGTCACAAGTTAGTGCAAAATTAGGGTTTTATTTTTTGTTTTTAATGTTTTTCTACAATTATTTTTATACTTTTTTCATTAAAATAATCAATTTTAATAATTTTTAACACAAATGATTTGAAAATGTTCTTTCAAAGGTTTCTATGCTCTTCAAGTTCTAATCCTGCATTCATTATATGCATCGAATAAATGGATAAATGGTGGAAAGAAGTTGAAAGTATTCACTGGGATTGGCATCTTTGGTCAAATTTTGAACCTCCTGGCCATTCTTGCCTACCTTGTCATTGCAATATCAGAAGAGCAAAGTCTGTGTTTACTTAATTAATCTTTGATTTTTACGGGACTGATGTTTGTTTGTCATTGCAATATCAGAAGAGCAAAGTCTGTGTTTACTTAATTAATCTTTGATTTTTACGGGACTGATGTTTGTTTCAATTGCTGCTAAATTCTGACACAGATAAGTCTACTATTGATAAAATCAAACGATTCTAAACTAATTTAAAACTGATTTATAGCAGTGATTTATTCATTCATTCATCTTTTTATTAGTTGAATATAAACAACCAACCAATGAAATAATTTGATTGGCAGAACTAACTCCCTATGGACCTCGGGGTTTCTTCATGGCCAGCATTTGGGTGGCCATAACCTGGAAGTGGGCCTTCTTAACGACGCTGTACAGCATTAAGTACAGAAGGTTACTAATCAACAGCCTAAATCCCAATTCACTTGTTCCCAATCCGGATTCAAATCCGGAACAAAGCACTTTGTTTGAACCTACTGAATCTGATCCATTAGTACCTGGAAGTAGTAATTCACAGAGATACATGGTTTAATGGAGGGATGCTTTGATGAATTATGCGTTTATCTGTGAGTTATGTATTGTATTTGATGGTGAATTGTGTATATTATTTTTATATAATGGTAATGCTTGTCAGTGCTCAATATTTTTTCTAAGTTTTCGTTTTAAAAAGTTTGTTTATGGTAATATTTTTGCATCTAACCTTTTCAATACATTCGTGATCTGGTTTTCAAAATTAGAATGGCATTTTGGATATAAATAGGTATATTTTGTAGAATTGGGTTTTTGTATGTTGGTATTTGTTTCAATGGAGTGTGTATCTATCATCTGAAATTGTTCATGTACCATCTGTATTGTATTGTATTTCAGTCGTTTCAATCATGTACGTACGAAACTCTATTAGATATAAAATACCTAGTTAAGGAGCGTGCCTATTTTATTTCTATTTCATTTTATCCTTCTCTGCATTCATTTTAATGTATGTGTGTGTGTGTATGTACACGCGTGTGTCTACGCATGTATATGTGAATGTGTGTATTATCTATGCATTATTTTATTCCATTTTGGATTACGTAATATCATGTATAAACCGCTGCTATACCCACACAAACAAACAAAACACACACACATACGTACACACACACACACACACACACATATTTATATAGATATATATACACATATATAGAGGCATTGATTTACCTTAAAATGCACATCCCACATTACGACTGTTTAATAATATAGATGATTGAAAAACAATGGCAATATAACAATAATATGATATTAAATAATAATTATTATTTTCATCATGTTTGTTATTATTATTATTATAAAGGGGCCACCAATGTTCGTATGTTTGCATGTATTTAATTTTTTTCAACTCTTGACTAACGTTTCATAAGATTAGAGATTCATTTATGTTGACTACTTTGTTTACCACTTGTTTACTATACATACACACTTATATACCAAATATAATAAACATATTTACATACGTACATAAAAATCACATACACATACAGAAACATACAAGCACTAATTCTTGTATATATATATATATATATATATATATATATATATATATGTTGATTAAAATTAATAGTTCAATGATAGCTATTATACTAGTGACAGTTTATAACAGATATATATATCTCTAGTAGATATATATTTACAATATACATGTTTAATATATATATATTCATCAATAATTGCATGTATATGTATGTAGATAGATTACCGTAATATAATGATATATATCTATCACATTTTATATATGGCGCATTATTATGAAAAATATTTTATTGTGTTAGTGGAATGAGCTTTTTTGTTTCATTATTTTCTTGAAGGCAGATTGCGTAAATGTGAATTTATCAATCAACCAATGAGAAACATATTAAATGAATGAATGTACGAGGGATTGAATGTTTGAGTGATTGAATGTACGAGTGATTGAATGTACGAGTGATTGAATGTACGAGTGAATGAATGTACGAGTGAATGAATGAGGGAATGAATAGCTGAATGAACAAATAAATTTTCTTACTCAAAATACAGATAAATATTAATTTATCTTTCAGTATTGACAACCATTCATTTGGCTATTTTACAGTATTATTAATATATATAGTTTATTAATAATAATAAATCAAATTTTATCTCAAGGATGTTATATTTTAAAAAATTTTATTTAAAAAATTTGTCCATTTTGTTTTGTCTCTAGTTATTTTAATAGTATTATTTAATAATATAACTATAATTAATGATTTTATTTTTCCTTCGGTATCGTTAGGCCGACTAGATTTGCAGACTCTTCGACTGTTAAATCTTTCCTCGAATAAGAGCTCCTAAGTTCCTAAAAGTAGAAAATACACATTAGAAAATGTATATATAAAAATTATATATATGCGTGTGTATGTATGTGTGTACATTAGTCTTATATGCTTTACATTACCTACATTAAAAATTTTTTTTTTAATTAGATAGATGTTTTAATAGTGGGAAAATTAGAATTTTCTATGAAAACATTAATAAGGATAAAGAAAAAAAACCATACCTTAAGATAAAAATAAATAAAATGAAATACTGAAATTAGCATTCTAATAAAAAAACATAAAGATTTTCTATTTCACATTTAACTTTCTTGAATTTTCCAGCAAGCAGAGGTAGGTTTCAGCCAGGTATCTAATTTCATCTCGTTCTTGACAGTATTTTTCAGTGGTTATTCGGTGTCTTTTATATTGCTCTACTATGTAGCTGTATATTGGGGACGAAGATACTTTTTGCTGCAATGATTTTACATTATAATTATATTATAATATAATTTAAACTTTTTATTTATCAATATTTACTTGTTTATTAATTATTATATTATCAAATCTAGTTGTTAATATTATAAAAACATCAATTTATTTTATTTGTTTATTTTAATTTGAAACTGGCTAACTCCTCACTAACTTGTTTGCAGTTGTACTAATACTAATTTTCTAATAGTCTAACTAGATTAGATTAACATTAAACTCTAATTCTAATTTTAGAACTTGAAACTGAACTAGAACTAAAAAATTAAATAAGAAAATTTATCATCGAGTTTACTTACGTTATTTCTTTGAAGATATTTCAACTCCACAACCAAACGTCGAAACATTTTATTCATAATTACTAATTGTAAGTTAATTTTTCAATTTTAATTTTATAACGGACGTAATTACGATATAACAAAGCAAGGTTAAATTTTTCACTTTTAAAAGTGGTTCACTTTTAAAATCTAAACATCATGGAAAAAAAATGTTTAAAAATTTTTTTTATAAAATAACATTTCAAAATAAATTTAAATGTTTGATTAAATTTTATTATTTAATAATATTTAATTATTTATTAAAAATAAAAATAATTGTTTAGTAATTTTGTAGATGTTAACTGTAACTTAAACTCGCTTTTACTCTTTAAAAATCGCTTTGGAATAGAAAATAAATTTCCTCAACGAAAAACCAGGAAGTTCATTTATTTTCTCAGTTTCTTAGTTTCACAGAACGGCTAAGCGTTCTGAATTTTAATTTAAAATAAAATTTTTTAAATATATTTAAAAAATGTTGGAAATAACATTTTTTCCAACTGACAAATGTTAACAATACGACGTTTCATTGATATGTCATACAAAAATTTAACACAAGCCACAATGTCACTAGTATTGTCAGATCGAGATTCTGCTACTGCTCGAAATTCCGGACGGACTGGGGCCGCCACATCACTCAGGGAAATGCTTTACAATCTCCTTCAACGTCACCAAACGGATGTCACAAAGACGTCCTGCATAGATAAGAAGTTTTTGAGAGGATCATGAAAGATGTTGATAAAGTTGTCAAACAATGCAGGTTGAGTAATATAAATTGAATTGAAATAAAACACCCAATAAAAGTGCAGAAAATTTAAATATTATTCAAAAAAATTTGCAATTAATACAAAAAAGAAGTATAATTCTAATTAAAAAACTTATCACATGAACAGCAAATTAAACTTGAAGAATTCTCCGCCGTTCATCTTGGACATCCTGCCCGACATGATCCAGCACTTAAAGCTCATTCACGCATGCAACGACGACCACACGCTGCAGGCCATCGAGTACTACACCGTCTTCATGGACAACTTATCAAAAAAACTCAAAAGTGGCCTTGAACTTTTCAAATTCAACAAAGTCGGTCACTTCTTGATAGTGTAAAACAACATATTGTTATTTAATTTAATACTCATGTTGTCATTATTATAATATATTAATAATATTTTATTTAATTTTTTTTGATATATTAGTCATTTTCAGTTTGAAATGAAATTTGTACACAAAAATTAATAAATTATTTTAAATACTAATTATTTACCTTTAAAAAGTTATCCTAACTTCTGAGGACTCATCTAACTGTTATTCACTTTTAATGAAACTTACACAATTTTCACTCAGAAATTACACCAGACTTTATTTCAATTCTCTCACCCCATAGGATAGAATGAGTGTTGAAAATTCAGAAAATCGGAAAAGTTTGATAAAACTTTCCCTAATTTTCTCTCATATGTTGTTTGAGTTGAAGGCCATTTTCCCTGGGGGCCAGTACATTGGGAGAAACTTCAGAGTAACAAAAAATGACGCTGACGAATGGTGGAAATCTGCCTTTCAGGACAAGTCTTTGCGCTATTCAATTCTTTTTTATTCAACTTTTTCTAAATTTTCACGTTTATTTAATTTGTACCATTGTTAATTGCCGTATCACGTTTGTGTTTTTTTGTTGAGTAGTTTTTTTGATTGAATTCATCCTCATTACCGTCACTGATTTCAACATCGTCATCGTCGTCATCGTGTCGTCAGGATAATAATTCAGTGGAAACAGTTCCGTCAGTCGTTCAGTGAAGTGCATAGGATTGATTCCGCCATCGAATGGGTCGCTCTGAAGTCCACCATTGACCTCACCCTCAACGATCACATCTCCATCTTCGAATTCGACGTCTTCACTAGGTACTTACATGCAATCAATCAATCAATCAATCAATCAATCAATCAATCAATCAATCAATCAATCAATCAATCAATCAATCAATCAATCAATCAATCAATCAATCAATCAACCAATCAATCAACCAACCAACCAACCAACCAACCTATCAATCAATCACAGATTATTCCAGCCCTGGCGCACGCTGTTGAGTAACTGGAACCTACTGGCCGTTAACCATCCAGCCTACGTTGCATTCCTCACTTACGACGAAGTGAAAGCCAAACTTCAAAGCTACGTTGATCGTCCCGGCAGGTACCTATAGATAAATTTGCCCATGTCTTTTTTATTTTTCCGTAGCTTAATTGTTAGAGGCGTCTGGTTGTGTTTTCTTCAGTTGCCGGGTTTGAATGCAAAGTCATCTCAGTCTGTCTGTCTATCTGTCATAAGCAAAAATTTTCTTATCAACGAAAAAAAAACTAAACTAACTTACACACATATCATCATCATCATTATAAAATCATCATCATCATCATCATCAGTTACGTGTTCCGACTAAGTTGTACAAAATTGGGGCAATGGGCCATAGGTTATGTGACCTCTGAAGGTCAAATTCTTCAGACCATTCCACAGAATAAGTCTCTAGGTCAAGCCTTGTTAGATGGACAGAAAGAAGGATTGTAAGTTTATTCATTCATTTGTTCGTTCGTTTGTTTGTTTGTCAGTTAAATCGTTCCTTTGTTTGTATGTTATTTCTGCCATACATTCACTCATTCGTTAGTTCATTCATTTATTCGTTCATTTATTCATCCATCCATCCATCCATCCATCCATCCATCCATCCATCCATCCATCCATCCATCCATTCATTCATTCATTCGTTCGTTTTATTTTCCAATTCATTCTCTGGTCCGTCAATTCATCTACTCATGTGCAATGCATATAACACAACAGACACTTTATAGTTATAACGATATTACTATTACTACTATAATAATTATTATAATTAGTTATAATAATAATAATAATAATAATTAATAGTAAGAGATGTCAATTAAAAATTAATTACCCCATAAAAAGCTGGTTGGTTTCTAGCTTAACTTAACACACCGACTACAATCAATTATTAATTACATTAAATGCATAATTACCATTATTAATGTTGTTCACCACATACATACGTATATTATATTCATATCGTGTTATAATATATATATATATATATATATATATATATATATATATATATAGAAAGAGAGTGATAAAGAGAGAGAGAGAAAAGGTGAGAGAGAGAGAGAGAGAAATTGAAGAAGACTTAAGTACGTATGAATATACGATTGTGAAATTTTATTGTGAGCTATTTTGAAAGTATCCAGTCAGCCTATGAATAGGTATCGTAATCTTATGATGATACATATACACATAAACACACACATACACACACACAAACATACACACACACAAACGTACACACACACATACACGCAGATTTTTACAAATTTATTTTGGCATTTATGCTTCAATGTTTGTTTAAAGCGAATAGATATAAAGACATAAGTACATATGCACAATGCAATTTATGTCTCTATCTGTATATGTAAATGCACTGTATTTGACGGTGAATTTGCTTAATTTTGTTTGGTTAAATTTAATTGATAGTAATGTGTTGGTATGTTTGTTTATTCAACCAACTAATCAACTAACCAATCGCTATTCATTCAACTATTTAACCAATCAAACAGCCGTTCAACTAACCAACCGACCGACCAACCAGCCAACCAGCCACAAACCACTTAACAAACCAACCAACCAACCAATCAACCAACCAACCAGCCAACCAACCAATCAACCAACCAATCAAACAACTAACTAACCAATGAATAAACCGACCACTCAGCTACAAGTACCCAGACGGGCGTGACATAAAATACGACATAGCCTGCCTAACTGAGGACAACCCCAGCGACCACATCCGGGTGTCTGAAGAGCAGTACGAATTGTACTGCGAGATGGGATCGACCTTTCAACTTTGCAAAATATGCGCCGAGAACAACAAGGATATTAAAATAGAACCTTGCGGGCACCTTATGTGCACCCTCTGTTTGGTTCATTGGCAGGTTCGCCTTGCTAGTCTGCTGTTGCTGTTGTTGTTCGTCGTTGTTATATCTAACTAATTTCTTCATTAAGTTAACAATATATAAGGTCCTTGGGTGATAATTCACTACTCATCATTATTAAATTAATTACACTAGTTTAATAAATTCTGTATTTTCCTACATAAATTTTTTTTCTTTCGTTTCTTCCATTCTTTTCTTTCTTTCTCCTCTCTTTCTCCTCTCTCTCTCTCTCTTTCTCTCTCTCTCTCTCTCTCTCTATATATATATATATATATATATATATATATATATATCTCCAGCCAATCACAATCACTCATTCAACATCTCATTCTCTTCAGCCATTCCGAATAGCTCATTTGAAATGTTAAACTTTTGACCTCGCAGGACTCAAGCGGGGTTGGCTGCCCGTTTTGCAGGGGCGAAATTAAAGGGACCGAATCGGTCATCGTCGATCCGTTTGAACTTTCCAGGAATAAAAAAAGGAATAATAATAATAAAACAAAAACCAAGTACACCGATTACGAAGATGACGACAACGATAGCAACAACAATATCAACAACAACAATAACAACAACAACAACACTATTAGCTATTTAGATCTCATCTACAGACAAGAACTCTCTGCTGATTATAATGGCGATGACAATACCACTACTACCACTACCACTACTGCCACTACTACTACTACCACTACTAATAATAATAATAATAATAATAATGATAATGATAATACCGATGATAATAATAACAATAATAAAAATGATGATGGATCCAGAAAAACACCCGGACAGGATGTGGATGAAGATTCTAGTTTTGATGTTAGCTCATTTTTTTATTATTATTATTATTATTATCATTATCATTATCATTATTATCATTATTATTGTTATTATTATTATTATTATTTTTAAGGATCCGGCTTCGTGGAATCTTCCGGGCTTTCCGCCGAGACCCCCACCCCCGTGCCGACCTTCTGCCTCTATGGGTGGGTGGGTTGGTTGGTCATCTCCATCATAACCGTCACCCACGCAACCATCGTCATCTTCATCCTCATCGCTTTTTCATCATTTTCTATCGCCATCATCATCATCGTCACCATCATCATCATCACTCAGATGTTCCACCACTCCCGACCAGACTACCAAACACTTCACCAAGGTCGTCGCCACACGTCGGCAGGTTAATCATTATCATCATCATCATCTTCTTCTTCTTCATCTTCATCATCATCGTTTTCTCATCATTATCATCAACATCCTCATCGTCGTCATCACGGGCGCACTGCGTGAATAAATTTTGCGTATGATACGACGTGGATCTCTTTTGCGATCGAACCCTGTAACCGCGATAACAGCGCCAGGCATCTTAGCCACTACACTACAATAAATTATATTGTAATATTCAGGAAGGGCTTGCCTCCACCTCCCATCCAGGCTGATGACGTATACATGCATCCGTTAACCGATGTTGACGACAACAACAATAACAACAATAATAAAAACTACAACAACAACAACAACAACGATAATAATAATAACAATAACAAAAATAATGATAATAATAATAGCGTTAACGTTGGTGATGATAGTGAGTACGTTTCATGTGATGATGTTGCTATTCATGGTGGCGATGATGGTGTGGCTAGTGGAGTTAAGGGACGCTGCATCATTCGAGCGAGACAACAACAGCAGCTTAGGTTTATAAACAATTTGTCAGGTCTGTCTATGCGTTATTGTAGGCAAACTCTCTCACAGATTTCTCACCTTCCATTCATGCATTCTTTCATTTATTCAGTCACTCTTCCACTCATTCATTCGTTCATTCATTCGTTCATTCATTCGTTCGTTCGTTCGTTCGTTCGTTCGTTCGTTCGATCATTCATTCATTCATTCATTCATTCATTCATTCATTCATTCATTCATTCATTCATTCATTCATTCATTCATTCATTCATTCATTCATTCATTCATTCATTCATTCATTCATTTATTCATTCATTCATTTATTCATTCATTCATTCGTTCCATTCCATTCCATTCGTTCATCCTTATTAAAACAGAATACTACCAAGATGAAACGACGACGTGCAGATCTCTACCTGAGCCAGATTTCATTAAAAGTACATTCCCATTTTTCTTAAAAATTCATAATTATTAATTGATTGTTTGAATAAATTAATGATTGATTGATTGATTGATATTGATCGATCGACAGATAGATCTAATTATCTATCTATCGATTGGTTATCGATCGATCGATCGATCGATCGATCGATTGATTGATTGATTGATTGATTGATTGATTGATTGATTGATTGATTGATTGATTGATTGATTGATTGATTGGATTGATTGATTGATTGATTGATTGATTGACTGATTGCCTGATTGATTGCCTGATTGATTGCCTGATTGATTGCCTGATTGACTGACACTTGAATACAGCTACCAGGGCAGATGGAAAACAGTCATCAGCTTCGGCAACGACCAGCAAAAGAACTGACGTACAATCATTGTACACGCCTCACGTAAAACGTGATTTACGCAAGAGGTATGCTATTATCATTACCACTATTTTATTTTTATGTTTTTTGGTTATTATTATTATTATTAAGCTATTATTTGATAACTCCACCCAACCGATAAAATTGTCTTTTCCCACGTGACCAGCTACTTAGAGTGCGCAGGAGAGATGAGCATGAAACTACCGAGATCGGCCAACAACTCACCGATATCGTCAACCGACAAACAGCGAACCGACAAACCGAAACTAACCGTCTCATCCCTGGTGACGTCATTCGACGAGCCGCAGCCACCGACCGCTACTACGAATCCCAACGCTAAAGGTAAATTCTCAACACGATCGGCATTTTACGGTACCTCCATAGATAACAACAACAACAACAAAAATGACGTCACAGCAGCAGGTGACGTCATCGGCAACGACGATACAGATGCATCGCTGCAGAGTATGCGAGAGAATATAGAAATATTGGTGTCAAAGGGTTACTCGTATGAGAAGGTTGTTAAGGCCCTCAAGATCGTAGAGAATGATTTGAATACGGCTAAATTAATTCTTGAACAATTCAGATGATTCAATAATAATAATAATAGTAATAATAATAATAATAATAATAAGAATAAGAATAATAATAATAAGGATAATAATAAGGATAATAATAATAAATTTACAAAATGATAACAATAAGAAAAATTGCTAATTTAATTTTAAAATAATAACGATATCATTGTTATTATATATATATATATATATATATATCATATATATATTATAGATATATTAGATATATATATATATGATTTTGCTATTAAGACTTTCAAAAGTTTTTTTTGAGATTATTTAAAAAATTGTCACTTGATTATCTTTTCGGATTTGTGCGTGTGTGTGCGTGTGTGTGTGCGTGCCTGTGTATTTTTCATATTTAGCATTTTTGCATATATATATATATATATATATATATATATATATATATATATATATATATATATATATATATATATATATATATATAATGTTCAGACTTGCGAAAATTATTATCACTTATATTAGAAAAAATTTATAAATTATGGTGACGATAATTTTTTTTTCTTACTTTCATTCAAAAACCCGTTAAAAAATTTGTGGCCTTTTTTATATTATTGATTCGTCTACATTTTTCTTCTTAAATGGTATTCTTTCCTTTCAAAATTTTTATTATATATATATATGTATATATATATATATATATATATATATATATATATAGTATATACATCAAGATTTATATATATATAATATATATATATATATCAAGATATATATACATATATGTATATATATATATATATATATATAGATATATATATATATATATACCAATATATACCACATATATATCAATATAGAGAGAGACTTATTATAAATTCTATTTAATTTACGGCGTTATATTATTTAAGGATGCATGGATGCATGTTTTATTTTGCTGATACTATCGAGTAGGCATGTTTCTTTCAATAAGTAATATAATTCGTACCTTGCTTTTATACTGTTTCTTCTTATTATTTTGGATTAATAGTAATTATAATAATGATAATAATTATCATTATTATTATGGTTTTTATATTTTTATCCACTTACATGCATTTTTTTAACACAATAAAATCCGGTTAATTATTAAAGCTTTGTTTTACATAATCTTTATAAAATGGAATAAATAAAAAAGTATTTCGTTTATTTATATCATACAGCAACCCAACAACAACAACTTGTACAATGGTGAATTATGAAATGTTTCTTTTTAACGAGCGCTAAGTCTTTTAGCGAAATCAACGCTGACCATACTTTTAGTGAGACTAACGATAGAAGGCCTCCCGTTTTTTGGCATAAATTTGCTTTTCTTTTTTATTCTCCTGCCTTTGCCTTTGCTTTTTACTTTCTTGTTATTGCTTTTACTATCGCTTTTGGGTTTTTGGTTTTGTTTTTCTGTCTCCTCACTTGATTTTGTTTTTTCTTTCTTCTTCTCTTTCGATTTTTCACTGTCATTTTCGCTCCAAGTTATGGCTTCTTTTGGGTAAGGTTCTGTGACGAAATCTGCGTATAGAGGTCGTTTGTTCTTGAACTTTTTAGGATTGAGCAGCCTTTTGTATTTTTCCTCGTCTGCCTTTCGAGACAAAGCCAGATTCGTTTCTAGCTCTAACAATTCCTGCTTCTGTCGCTTGCTTGATGAGTTTTTTTTAGGTTTTTTTTTAGATTTTTCTTTTATTTTTGGCTTTTTCTTTTCATATTTAGCTTTCAGTTTTTCAATTTTGGCTCTTTTAATTTGGTCGTCCTTGTAGAGAGCGTCGACTTGTTCTTTGAATTTTTTGGAGTGTTTGAATTGGTGGTCATCGTCACCACCGGCACCTTCTTCATCATCATCTTCTCCTTTCTCTACAGATGCGAGGGGCAGTTTTGATTTCAATGGCTTTCGTTTGTACTTGAAACAATTGGATCCTCGCTCAATTTCGAATGCCGGCACAACCAGGCAATCAACAACCCGCCTGTGAAAATCAGGACAGAAACAACATTCTGGCTCGTACTTGAATTTAATGGGTTTCGAGGCAGTAGCATTGTTGGCCTCCTTATCAGCTCCGTCATCATTTTTTCCTCTACTGTTCTGCTTCAAATCGCTCTGCTTGCCAACAACTTTTTTACTCGAGTGAATATTTGCATCGGTTTTTGTTTTCGGTTTTTTTGGTTTTTTAATTGAGAGATATTTTTTGTTGCTTCTGTAGATGTCCCAGTATGGATGCAAGGGCTCGTCCGGCCGGAAGATGTCGTGATAGTGCAAACTGCACTTCTCGTGAATTTTCCTGCTGAGACACGTAGAAAGAGGACAGTATCCGAGGTTTATCATTTTTAAATAGTTCCAATGCCGTAGCTTACTTGTGTTTCTTCCTTGTTAGATGTTCCGTTGCGATGTTTCGCCCTAAGAATACTGATGGCAGACGAATGTGTGATCATGAGCATTATCGACGACGATAGTATCGAGCCAGCCTCACGCGAATAAATTTTATTTATCGGTTGTCACAAAGCCTGATTGGAGTTTGTTACCTTTTTGGTCATTGTTTGGCTTTGTTGCAGGTCTGATTTTCGAGTTTTTCATAGAAATAAGATGTTTTCTTCTTGTTTTTGTTTTGTTTTATGGCTGTAAACATTGATTTATATAATTTTTAACGCTTCGTTATAGGTATGCATCCAAATGGAAATATAAGAAGTAAATCTCAAGAATTGATATCTTCAAGCGAACTCGAAAACCGAATTTAAATTTATAAAACGGCTTCTAAAAAAGTTTTTTTGAATTAATTTATAACATTTGCTCGAAAGAAAACAAACTTTTTCCGGAAAAAACTTCCTCACATCGATTTGGTCAAAACGAAAATGCTTTACATATTTTTATTCATTTTAAAGTTACAGTTGAACGATGATAATGAAATAAAATTAGTGGTAATACAATCTATAAAAAAAAATTGATAATATTTTACGTTAATATTGTTGCGTGAATAGCGGTTTACATTTTTTAGAGAAAATAATAAAATATATCACGCGTTGTTAAGGAATATGTGATTGGCGTTCACTTATGATTCTTGTTTGAGAAGCCATCAATTTTGAGTCGGAAGCAATGAAAGGCAAATGCTGGCTATTACCGACTGAATACAAATAGCTATCAGACACCAACTCAATACCAATCTTCACTCTTTGATGACATAGAATCGGTATTGAATCGAGTCTCGGTCCATTCCTTGTACGATGGAGAGTTTTTGATCATGTCGTAAGTGTCGTCATCATTCTCGAAATTCATCATCTTTGATTTGTACTTCAGGGCAGATACAGTGCTGGCAATTGTTGGAGTAGCGACGGATGATGTCAGGCCGACATTTGGACCGGCTGCAACAGAGGATGAGACGAGAGGTTTTGCTGACACGAAACTTTTTTCGCCCGAGTCTAAATTCTTCCAAGTGGAGTTCATCATACTGCTTTCTGAGGTTTTGTATGTGCAGCCTACGTCATTTTCGTAGTCGAGGAGGTTCGAGTAATCGTCATCGCCCTTGCGATTCATCCAACTTGCAGATGGAGACTCTCTCAAACCTTGAGAGGAGAGCGGTCTTGTCGCTGGAAAATTTGACTTTGCCGCATAATCGACATCAGCTGTGCGCAGACTTGGCGGAAGAACGCACCTGGAAGTGAATTTTTTCGAATAATCGACTAACTCCTCCTTCTTTAATTTTTCACCTATCTCGAATTTTTCAGGGTTGAACGGTTGCTGATCTTTAGCTACAGAAATTTCTTTAGAATCCTTCGGTGATTCTGCAGTCAGCTCTTTGCGGAGGTTCAGGTAGTAGGATTTTTTGTAAGGTGAGTCGAGAACGGCCGGAGCAGCCTTCGCAGCGTACGATCGGATAGTTTCGGCATCTATCGCTTTTTTTGACTTTGCCACGGAGCTTGAAATTTGAAAATCGGTTCCGATTGAATCGAATTCGGAGTGCGAGAGTTTGAACTGAGGTTTTTTGAAGAAACTTGAAATCTTAGCCGTGTTTGATGATGAAAAATCGAAATCAGCTTCCATTATCTTCTACTTTGTTGGCGATCTTTATTTTTCTTTATATTACAAATTTCTATTTTTATCGTTTGGTCTAGATGTGTTGGTTTCTTTTCTTCACTTTATGGTTTCTGAATGTTGTTTCAAACTTTAATTTATTCATTTTAATTAATCGCAAACTGTAAATATTAATGTGAATTTTATTTAAATTTAAATTTGATTAAAAAATGCAAATTAAAAAAACAGCTAACCGCTGTTTATGATGGTCAATCATTCAGACTCAACCAAACCAGCAAACGAATCCGATTTTGAACAAAATTTTTTTTAAATATATAAAACTAAAGATAAATTACTGTTATAACAATTTTTTTTTATTTATTTAATTATCGTTTCAAAATTTATAAACACTCCGAACTAGGCGTTGTTTACATTATTCGGATGACGTCACGTAAACGGCATTCATGGGCATAGACAAATTATATAAATAATGTGTCTTATATATATATATATATAATTGTGTGTGTGTGGTGTGTGTGTGTGTGTGGTGTGTGTGTGTGTGTGTGTAAAAGGTGGAACCCGAGGCATTTCAATTTCTATGGATTATCATATATTTGATCACATAGAAGCAGAAAATCAAATGAAAAATGAAAAGAAAATTGATTATGCTATTGAGCTTTTAAAAGTTTGCCATGACACCAATCAACTTATAAAAAACATTTAAAAATTATTATTGTTAGTAGTGGTAGTAATATTACACCCCCCGCCCCCCCCCCACACACAAGCACACACAATAAAAAGTAAAATATAAATGAAATCACCGATTTATATGTCATCATTAAAATGTCAAAATAAAATAATTGTTGAAAATATAAATATTAAACAAATTAAAGAATAAAACTCATGATTGATAACCAAGGCTTGTGTTTGCCGGCATATAACCAACCAATCAACCAACCAACAAACCAACCAATCGATCAATCAATTGTTTTTTCAACGCGCAACACAATGTAGCCTTCTAAAATGTGAATAATTAATAATAGAAATTAACAAATCATTCAATCAATCGACTAACCAACAAAAGAGCCAGCCAGTCAACAAACCAATCGCTCAATCAACCCATTTACCAATTTGTCAATCAATCGACTAACTAGCCAAACAACCAACCAACCAACCAATCAATCGATCGATCGATCATTTGGTTTTCAACGGGCAAAACCGAACATCCAAAAAATGGCCGCTACTATTAATGACGTCATAATAGTTGAAAAGTGGAGTGTTGCCATGCCACCGGAACTGGGCAACTGGAAGCAGTCGTCGACTAAAAATTTCGTCATTGATCTGTAGAGATGGCGGGAGAGATGCTCATCGGTTATGGAGTGGTCCTGGTCAGGGTAGGTCTGCGTTGGTGGGGAGGATGAGGAAGATGAGGAAGAAGAAGATGACGATGATGATAGATAGTGGTAATGATAATGATGATCGTGATGATGATCGTGATGATGATGATCATGATGATGATCATGATAGTGATGGTGATTATGATGATGTGATGATAGGTAGTGGTGATGATGATTATGATGGTGATGGTGATTATGATGATGATTATTGTGATGATGGTGATGATGGCAATGATAGTGATGATCACGATGATGATGGTGATGATGATGATTGTGATGATGGTGATGATGATGGTGATGGTGATAATGATGATGATGATGTCTAACTATCTGAGTAAAGTCAACGTCGTTCATTTCCAGCTCTTTTATGAATTGGGCGAAGTTCGTGTAATGAACATTATCTGGTGATGATGATGATATTGATGATGATGATTTTGATCCTTCTTATTGTTATTGTTATTGTAACGATAATGATGATGATTGTTATATTTGTTATTGTTATGATGATGCTGCTGCTGCTGCTGATGATGATGATGCTGCTGCTGCTGATGATGATGATGATGCTGATGATGATGACGATTACCAGACTAACCATCAGCCAATCCGTGTGCAATGAAAAAATTCTTGCCCTTAAACTGCTTGGCCTTCTTGACGACGTTTGTGTTCTGTTCACATAAATTCAAAAATCCAATTATACAATTCACACACTCACGCACACAAAACACACGCACATGCACACACACGCACACACACACACACACATACAACAACAACAACAACAACAATATTAATAATAATAATAAAAAGCTCAACCTCATAGGCCATTGTTCCATTTTCTTCGGTAACCAGACCTAAGTAACGTTCGCTGTATGCTGTGTCTTTTAGAGTTCAAATAATAAAAATTATAAAAAAGAACCTATAATTATTATTATAATTATTATATTATTATTATTATTACTACTACTACTACTATTATTATTTACCATAAAATCCTTTGCTTGTAACGGCAGCGATTGATATAGCGCAATTGAAGTGCGTGTTATTCTGGGCCAGTACGTGGGCCGCTGTGTGACCTCCGTAACTCTAAATTAGGTCGGGTGAAAATGAATGAAATAAAATTAGGTCGGGTAAGAATGAATGAAATAAAATTAGGTCGGGTAAGAATTAATGAATGAATTAATAAGTAAATGAGTAATTGATTGAACTAGGTAGCGAATGAACAAATGCGGGAGTGAAATAGACGAATGAGTGGATAGATGAATTAATAAATGAATGAATGCATTGATGAGTAATTAGATGAATGAATAATTAAATAAACAAATGAATGACTGGATGAATGAATGAATGAATAAACAAACAACTGACCCAGCCAAAAATAGCGGCAGGCTTTTTGTCGTCAACGAACTCTGATTCTTTCATCATGTGACTGACAGTTGGGATGGAGATGAAGACGATGATGATGACGCCACACAGACAACATTGCTACACACCAACAGCACCAACAACAACATCAACAACAAAAACAACAAAAACAACAACAACAACAACAAACAAATAAACCTGACGCCCTTGATTTGATCTTCGACTTCTACGACCCCTAATTTTTTATAAATTTTAAATTTTAGCTCCTCCCCCTGCCCTAGAGTGCCCCTACCATCTATGGAGGCAACAGCAATTCTGTACTTGCTCGCCAGGTGCTGGAGCCAATTTTTGGTCCTCGAGCCCATTTCGAACCGCTTCGAAACCTCCTGTGTAGCTGGGCCCGCGTAGCTGTGTGTGTGTGTTTGTGTGTGAGTGTGTTCATAAGTTGATTTGCGTTTGTGTGTGTGTGTGAATGTGTGTTTGTTTGTTTGTGTGTGTGTGTTTGTGAGTTGGTTTGCGTTTGAGTTTGTGAATGTGTGTTTGTTTGTGTGTGTGTGTGTGTGTCTGTGTGTTTTTATGTGTGTGTGTGTGTGTGTGTGTGAGTTGTGAATAATGTATGTGTGTGTGTGTGTGTGTATGTGAGTTGCGAGTTATGTATGTGAGTATGTGTGTTAGTCTAGGGTGTGTTTGCAATAATGATAAGGATAATAATAATAACAACAACACC